AACTGCCTTAGAGATGGGTATAGTTTCTTGACAACGTCTAATAGAAGCTATACTTCCCTCTTGGACACCGCATATACTCGTAAGGAATTCCCTGTGCTGTGTCATTGTTGTAGTGTGGAAATAAGAAGGCTTCCACTCTATAACAATGTCAAAAATTTTAAATTTTACTAATATTAAAAGAATTTTTTTAATAGCAACAATACAAAATCCTTATACTCACCTAAATTAATATGAATAAATAAATTAGATATAGCAAGTATAAATTATATTCATCTTACTAAAGTCCTAAATGCTAATCAATGATATATAATAAGTATTGTACAGAGTGCTACAAAAAAGAGGAAAATAGACATTTTTATATAAATAACAAATAGTGCCAAATTGTTTGCTAATAATAATTTCATTTGTCTATTTTTTTTGAAATAAAACAAAGCACAGTCTAGTTTGAATTTTTACAATTATGTAAACTAGATATAAATCTCTGAAAAAGAAGAAAAATGACAAATTATTTAAAAAACTTTTTTTTATATAAATTATTTTAGAATAAGATCAAGATCATTTTTTATTTTGAGTACAAACTTAGTTGTACTAATAAAATCTTATATATAGTTTTTTAAAATCTGTATTTTCTTATAAATTATTATAAAATTTATAGCATAAAATTTAATTTTCTGAAGGATAATGATCCTAGTGTAGTGATTAAGTTGTTATCTTTTAAGTAGCAGGTCTAAGGTTCAAATCCTATCTACAATAAAATTTGGAAATTATATCTGCATTATAGTAATTGTCTCCTATTGATCAGTTGGCCTCATGTGGCTGTTACTCAAGTATATCAAGTCAGGTTCTACCAATATTGGAAGTTTGGTATTTATGTGAAATGTAATGTTATATATACATAGAGAAAAGTATAATCAGTATTGTATAAGATTTCAATGCAAACTTACGATAAGACCATTAAATATAGAAGACTAAAGAACCAAGATGATAAAAACCTACTTGGAAATCCTTAAATAAAAAGGTAGTATGAACTTTCAATGATATCATTTAACTAGTTAAAACCCATAAAACACCTTTATAGAAACCAAAAATTAAAATCAGTCATTAAATATATATAGAGGAGCATATAACCAACCAGGTTACTAAATTCACTAAAGAAAAAGAATACAGAGTATACTATACTAGGCTATTTGGATTGGTAGTCTGAAATAAGACTGACACTTCTGAGTTGTGACTAATAGAAGATAATAGAGAAGATACTAGAAAGATAAATACTAGAATTCTAGTAAACTTTACAAGAATAGAAATAGTGTAACATAGTGATTAAACAGGTAACCTTTGTGACTACAAGTGTTAAGTAACTATAATGTATTGCATAAAACTAAGTTTATATGTATAGAGTATAAAGACTCTAGTAAGTTTTCTGTCAAAAATAAACTAATCCTAAAGATAATAACAAGTATCAAAAACTTGGATAGGTATAATCTTAAGATGTTCTTATAATACAAGAAGAATTGCATATATAAAGAGTTTAAATAAGCAAGACCTCTAGTTGACTTGCAGGTATGACAACTAGTGTAGAATTTATATAACAATATATAAGTGAACTACTTAAATTAGGCATCAAAATGTCACATCTTCCAAGATAGGAACTTTAACTATAAAAAAAAAATAAAAAAAATTAGGCATCAAAAGTACATGTATGGCTAGTTGTAACTTTCAATATAAGGTGAGCCTCTGATGGCATGTCATGTCCTAATATACTTGAATAAAAACGTTGCATCCTCAAGATAGAGACTTTAACTATAAAAAAAAAAAAAAAAAATGTAATTTTCTGAAGATCTTTTTTTTTGTCGATTTTCTCTTATTCTATAGCACTGACCGGAAATTTTCGTAAGCGTGTTAATTATCCAATCTATTATTCCGATATCTAAATTTGGTCGGATGCATGTAGATCATTGTTGTGTTCAAAACACAAATCACGGGTTATTTTATGATTCTGTAAATGTCGATTTTCCCCCTTTCTATTGCACTCAGCTCACACTATGATTGGTCATGTGCGCCAGCATGTGACTATGAGCCAATGAAATAATACTGGTAAAATTAGTTTTATTGCAAGGTTGGCAATGAAACCAATGAAGCTCAGTGGCTATGCGTATCCATTGGCGCTCCATTGGCTCGTTATAACAAAAAAAACGAAAAGGTCAAATATATTTTCTTAAACATATATATATTTTCCTAAAGCCTATTTTATTTACTATACTAAATAAAATGAGACCTAAAAATCTATAATTACTGTATTATAATACGTAATAAACCCATAGTTTTAAAATCTTTAAAGTTTTAACCGGTTTAATTCACCGTTTTTACATACGTAATACGTAAAAGGTTCTTTACACTATGATTTAAACGCTATACACACATAACTTAGCAAAACGGTTTATTTTTTAAAAAGAAGTTTTTGCTGGTTTTTTTTTTACTAAGTCAAATACATATAGTTCTATAGTTATAATCAGTGTTGGTCAAATTAGTGGTCGACTATAAATTTTCTGGTCATTGGTCAAAGGGTTTCTGGTCAAACTGGTCTAGTCAAATTGGCCTAGAAAATTAGCAAATCGGACCAATCAAGAAATTTGATTATAGTTAATTGGTCAATTTGTTCTTATAACTAGACCATTTGACCAACTTGACCAATGTCAAAGATGCTTGACCGGACTGGTCATTGGTCAAACTGGTCAGGTCAATGGTTGAATTGGTCTGGTCAGCCCAACACTGGTTATAATATACGTAGAAGTTTCAACTTCTAAGTAGGTTGCATAGTAACTGTTGGAGCTTCACTGAAGATAGAGACGGCCTTAATTTTCATTTTTTTACTTGTGAAATATTACATTCTTAAGTACTCTATACTGTATAAATACAATTGACCAATCAGAAGAAAGTTGGCCTATAAGATCGACCCTGAGTCACAAATTTCAAATTTGGAAAATTTGTATTAGGGATACAATCAGCACTTCTAATTGGTGCATCTTTGCAGGTCCCATTGATAAAGATTTTTCGTTTTACCCATCAGATCCAAAAACCCGGATATTAATTCCCGGGTATTAATCTCAAAGTCAACGGCCACGCAGGTGCAGTATATGCAGATATATTTCCAAGAGAACAACCAAGTCATCAGAACTGTTAAGATATAACTTATTTACTGTCTTGACTGCATCGCCAGATTCCTTTTTTTCTTTTTTTAAAAAATTATATTTTGCCAAAGATTGCTTTCTGAAACACTGAGATTGCAACGCTGGCTTCGGCAATCAAGCCACTCCTCCCTTCTCTCTGTCATTATCTACCGGTCATCGGACAACGGATTAAACCCATAACCGATTTTATTCCACAATGTCTGCCTCAGAACCTCCCACTATTATCAGTCTCTCGGAAGAAACCCTAGGATTACCCTCTGCACCTCCACCTTCTGTATTGCTTCAAGAACAACACGCTCAAAATGAGAATAGTCCTGCGGTTGAATATTCCATCCCTACTGAAGGTCCAACCTCTGTTTCTTATGATACAGACTTTCCTTCACTCTCCGCTGCAGCTGCCCCAATAACAAAGTCTTCTGTATGGGGTAACCGTTCTGGTGCTGATCTAATACGACAGCAATCTACAATCAAAAAGTCGGGAATCATCACTGAAATACTTGAATTGTCTGCTTGCCAACAATTGCAAAAGAAAGAGTTCGGTAATAAAACCACAATTGCTGATACAGTCAAACGTATCACAAATAAGACAAACACCCAGATCGATATGTCTACCGCAACAAAAAGTGGCACTACTACTTTTTTGATTAAAGGTAATATTGAAGATGTGATGAGAGCAAAGCGAGAATTACTGGATATCTTGGCTGTTAAAGTAAGATTATTTTTTGCTTATTATGCCAGGCAATAATACGGTCTTTGGTTATTTGTTGCTAATCAGCATCTGCCTTAGAGCGAAGAAACTATCCAAATTCCAGTTTCTGCTCGTCCTTACATTTTAGGAACCCGTGGCCAAACACTACAAATGATCACTTCTAGAACTGGAACGCGCATTCAACTTCCACCGCGTCAAGAAAATAATATAGAAGAAAATGAACTCGATTATGATGAGGATGAAGAAATGATGAGCGTCAAAATTGAAGGTGATACGAAGGGGATTAACTTGGCCAAGGAAGAAATTGCTACTATTGTTAACGAAAGAGTAAGAATTCACTTTATTCTATAGATGAATGGCCTGAATATGTGTATTATCTAATGCATTTATCCAATTTGATCATTTGTGTGTAGGCAACAAAACGGTCCCTTCGCATTACGCATATAGAACATCATTTCTACCCATTAATCTTTGGTGCACACAACCAACGTATTCATCAAATTAGTATTGATACTGGAACAAAAATTCATGTTCCATTTTATAACGCTTCTGCAGAAGTTGGTGATAATCAAGACCATTATAAGGACTCTATCGTTATTACTGGCGAACGAAATGCGATTAAAAATGCCATTGATGCCATTGAAGATATCTATACGACATTAGTAAGTAACAAACTATTAAATCAATTCTTTACTATTTTAAATGGTTTAATCTCATTAAACTTAATCTAATTGAATATAATTGAATAGAAAAGCACCACACGAATTCTTAGTGTTAACATCCCGAAACGTCAACATAAGTTTCTTATTGGGCAAAAAGGATCGACTCTCCAAGAGATTTTAGAAACTACCGGTTGCTCTTTGGAACTACCTGCACTATCCGATCCATCTGAAAATGTTGCTATTCGCGGTCCACAAAATAAACTTACTTCAGCTTTGCAAATTGTGTTAGACAAGGCTAATTCTATTCATATAGAAACATTAGACATTTCGCTTTCTCACAAAACCGATCAGCCGTTGGAACATGCCAAAAATATCTTAAAATATCTATGTAATAGGAGTAAAAAAAAGATTGAATCAGACAATAGTGTGCAGATAGTGGTTCCCAGAGGAACAGCAATGGAAAAGAGTGTAATATTGGAATTCGTCGGTAAAGATCTTGGAAATGTAGAGAATGCAAAAAAAGAAGTTATTGATATCGTTAAGAACCTTGTATGTGTTAAGAAAAAAAAATGTTTATTTTGAAAGCGCAAAATTTGACTTTATATTTACTCTAATATAGTCACCAAGTCATTTCGCTATTGCAACCATTGAGCCACATCTTCATCGCCATATAATTGGTCGTAAAGGACAAAACCTTCAGCGTGTTAAAGAAACTTGCGGTGTCGAAATCATTGTTCCTGATGAAAAGGATGAAAGTCCTGACATTTTAATCGTTTTTGAGGGTAGGGATAATGATGAAGTCCCTATTGATCGGAAAGAATCGTATGTCAAAGACATTTTAGAAAAAGCAAAATTAGAATTGGTCAAAGCTGGCCAAGATGCAGTAAGTACTAACCGTGTATATTAACTTTTGTTCTGTATTTTAAAGATAATTAAATTTCTTTTGGTTTACATAATTATAGTCTGATTTTGCTACGCAGACCCTTACCATTCCAGTAAAATTTCATCGTCATATAATTGGGCCAAAAGGAACCACTCTTAATGGTATCACCGGTGGTAGTGATGCACCTGTTTCTGTTAAATTTGGTTCTTATCGAACGGGTGCTGCAGAGCGATCTGCAAATGCTGAAGGCAAAAAGGTTATCCAAACACCAATGTCTAATGATATAGTTGTAATTAAAGGTCCGACTGAAGAAGTTGAGAGGGTAGTTAAAGAAATTAATAAGGTTGTCGAAGAAGCCAAGCATACCGAGGTTTGTCCACATAATATGCCTTAGGCAAATGATATGACGCTTAAGTGGAGAAACATTACACTTACTTGAACTTTAAATTTTCAATATAGTTTATGAATTCTTACACCGAAGAGTTTACCTTCCCTGCACAATACTCTGCTCATGTAATTGGCAAGGGTGGTGCTAATGTGACACGCTTAAAGGATAAATGGAGTGTAAAGATCGATATAGAAGGAGGTGCTAAAGGTGAAGAAAAGAAGACTACACCTGGAGAAAGTGTTAAAGTTACTATTGTAGGTATGAAGGACAATGTCAAAGAAGCAAAAGCCAGGATACTAGATCTAGTAGACAAATTACAGGATGCTACTACAGTCCGTCTAAAGATTCCTTCTGAATATCACAAATCATTGATCGGTACGAAAGGCCGCTATGTAAAGCGTCTTGAAGAGAAATATGGTGTTCACATACGGTTCCCTAAGACTAAAGATTCCAACGAAGATGGTGAAGATGATCTAACTGATGCACAAAAGTCTGATGAGGTAATCGTTAAAGGTGGAAAGAAGGGTGTTAATGATGCTCAGACAGAATTGATGGATCTTCTAGATTACGAAAGAGATCATGATAATTCAGAGAATTTTAAGATTCCAACCCAATTTCTTCCTCATATTGTTGGTAAAAATGGAGTCAAAATTACCGAAATCAAAGAAGAGACAAAAACTCGTATCGATCTTGGGCAAGCTGAACCTTCAGATGATGATCCAAATCAACAGGTTGTAAATGTCGTAGTGTATGGAACTAAATCTGATATTAAAAAGGCAAAGGAACTCATTCTTGGCATTGTAAAAGAATTCGAAAGTCAGACGACCATAACAATGAATATTGATCCCCAGTATCATAAATACCTAATCGGACCCGCCGGTAGCCGAATTCGAGAGATTGTTGCTAAGGTTGGTGTCCCTGATGAAAAAAGTGGCCAAGCAGGTATTGTAAAGTTTCCTCTCCCAGGTACAAACAGCAATGAAGTCACGCTTAAAGGTGATAAGGAACTCGTTGAAAAAATAAAGGTCGAGCTGGAAAGACTAGTTGAAGAGCAGGTACTTAGCATTCATGTATGGGTATGTTTATTAAATTCCAAATTTGTAACGGACAAATTACGTTTAGAGCAATCTCACAGTCGATGTTATTCAAATTCCACGCGCCCAACATCCTATCATTATTGGGCGTAATGGTATTCAGCTTCGAGAAATCCAAAGTCGCTTTAATGTGATGATTCAATTTCCTGGCTCTAGATCATATAATGATACCCCTACTGTGAGCCACATGAACAATAATATAGAAAATAGCGAAGAGGCTGTTAAGATTATAGGAAAAGCGGAAAATGTTGAGGCCGCTAAGGCTGATATTTTGGTAGGATTACACTTATTTCATGTATTTACGCAGTAATAATTCTAACTTCAATTATTATTCTTCAGGCCAGGATTCGATATGTTCAAATTAATGTCCCACGTAAAATCCATAATTCTCTGATTGCTAACGTTGCCCGTAAACTTCGAAATGAATTCCACGTTACATTAGATTATGATGATGGTGGTGCACAGTCTGAAATAAATCTCTCTAAAAAGAGTGTCATGAACGGCATTGCTACTAAAAGAATTGATGACGATGAAAATTCCGAAAATAAAGCTGAACTTGGATGGGAAGTAGTTGAAAACGAAGATAATGCTGGCGATATTATTTGGAAATTGAAAGGTGAAAAAATTCAGGTTGAACGTGCGGAAGAGTATGTTAATGACTTATTAAAAGAAGCAGTAAGTCGCGCCCTTTTAAAGAGTTTTTATTTACGTTTTATTTTTTTATTTTTTTTACTTATTTATTTATTTACTATTTTCTACTAAAAATTAGCGTCGATTTACTCATACAGGCTATATGACTATTCCTCAACAATATCATCGGCATGTTATCGGTCGTGAGGGTCGTACAATTTCACGTATTCGAAATGAAAGTGGATGTAAGATTGAAGTTCCAAAGGCTAAAGGTGATGATATTGTAATTGTAACTGGATCTCAAGATGGCGTTGAAAAAGCTCGAAGCTTAATGGAAGAAATCATTAATCGAGCTGAAAGATAGTTATACATACTTTTCCTGAACGATCAGAATAATTTTACAGTTATACTAGCCCATCAATCAGATCTCCAAATGTTCTTATCTGATCAAGCGTTAAATGTTGTGAGGGTTCATGGTTTGGTCTATAATTGCCGAAACAAAAACTGTATCATTTATTTAAAATGTTTGGAAATATTTATGTACGTTTGTTAATAAAAGATAAAATTAATATTTTTTTTTTGAATTTAAAAATCTGTGCATGATCGAGAACGTAGAAAATTTGAATTTTTCGATATTCAAATTGCATTTATTCCCAAATTTCTATTTGATACATGTGAGCCAAAATTTGGATTTTTTTTTAACGAGTGAGATCTTGTCTTAGTCTTTATTGAATAATTATAGGTAATATTACAAATTAGCTCTTATGCCCGGATGTTGTTCCGGATGCGAGGTTTTAGTTTTTTGTTTGATTTTTAGTCTTCCAATTCGAATTTGTTTAATAAATCAATTTTAGCATTTATCGCCGCTGGCGATACCACCACCTCTTATTTCTTTTATCAAATTTAGAGATAGGGTGCAATTTTAAACCAAGGTTAGGGTTAGGTATAAAGGTCCAAATCTTCGTTATGGTTAGGTTTTTGGGGTTCCGAACATTTTTACCTCGGTTCTATTTCATAAAAAAAAATATCATGTGAAATTCAAAAATCTATTTCTTATATGCATAACTTAGGAATTTTCTTATGTCAAGAAAATCCTGAGTTGTTGGCCAAAAAGATATTGGTCATAATATATCAAAAATTCACAGTTACAGAATAAAAAGATCTGCATACACTTTCTCCCAAACACATGAGTTTTGGGGTAGAGTAACTTTTTTGTTAAAAATAAGAGCAAACAACAAGACAAAACTAGGGATGGATCGGTCCAGAAAGACTGAATAAGAATCAGTCTTTTAACCGGTCCCATGATTAACTGGTCTCCAGTTTCGAGACTGGTCTGAACCAGTCAGAGCTGATCTAAAGATAAAGTAAATAAGGGTCCAAAGTGGAAATAATTCCATATAAGGGCCAAATTTTGAAATAACTTTGCATTATAATATGTAGTGGTTCTTCGAATGCTATAACTATATATACAGTATGTTATGTATGTATTTATTAATACTTTATCTTTTGCTTAATAAACCTTCTTATTAACAAGAAACAGTTCGACTAATTTAATTATCATTCATTTTTAAAGATATTCGATAATTGGAATTTGGATGTATCCATTAAAAATTGGTTCTTTCATTCAAAAGATAAGAATCATTTAATTATTGAGGCTGATAAAAAAGTTTACTTTCAGAAACTTTATGCAAATTATTTTTCCATCAAGATTTAGATTTTACATAATTAACTCTTTAGAGAAAACCTTCTATCTCTGACATTTCATCCTCTTCTATCTTTACTCTTCATTCTAATCTATTATCTAAATTACATGTACTTCACCTTAATTTTGCTTATACTACAGAATCTGGTCTTTTCAAGAATATAGTAACTTTACCTAATTTATGTAAAAATCTTAGAGAATTAGATATTCATCTAAAAGTTATAGATTTAGGTTAATTATGATTGTTATTGTAATGTTTATTCGTTCTAAACAATGTGTTTTATCCTATCGCTACACCAAACCAGTAAATCAATATTTGTGAAGGTTATTATCTAATAATTGAAGATATTTAGAACTGAAGTAGAACATTTTTATTCATAGAGAAAGCTAAATTACTTTTAAAAATCAAAAAAAGTGGTTATAATTTTACATGAAAGGTGCTAAGAAAATAAATGCAATACTGATTAAAAAGTAATACATTTAAATGTCAAAAGACAATTACATTATATAATTTTATATGCAAAAAATTTGCTTTTCAAATGTAATTATTTTCTTTCGGGCTCTTATATATAAACTCCCTTTATTTTATTACACATATCACATTACTAATCAAATTTGCTCTCAGATCCATTCCAACGAATTGACTTAAGTGTTTGAGAACACTTAATGGATCTGATCCATGCTTAAAATTTTTTAAATTCAAACCTGTCTGTACAGGCCTATATTGTTAAAAGTCTTAAATAATTAAGTATAGTTTGAGGTCATACATTCGTGTTAGAATGAATAATGTATTTAATACATAAATATTCAATAATTCTCAATAAAAGAATAATGTTATACAATCCCTGAAAATGCAGAGATTAAATTACATTTTAATTTTTTTTTCTTTTATTTTTGCATGATAAAATTATGACTCAATTGTTATACAATGTGATCTATTAAAAGTGTTTCAAAAAAATTGTAAATTGTTCTTTTTTTTTATAAACTTCATTTCTTTTAAATCGTAACAGTTAAATCATAATAGTTATACATCGTTTTCATAATTGTTGTGTATAAATAATCAATTTCTTACCTTTATCCAAGAAAACAATGAGTACTGATTCTTCGAATTCTGTAATTGATTATGAAGATAATAATGAAATCTATGAATGTAAGAAAAGTAATTCATCAACGAGTACCCATTCAGATAATTATATAAATTCACCATTCCAAAAAAAAGGAAAAGAACTCTCAACTGTGTGAAAACATTTTATTAAAATTAAAAAGTCTGGAAAATGGAAGTGTAAAAGATGTCCATCAAAATATGGAAAGAACACTAGTACCTCAACATTAAGGCAACATCTGAAAGTGCATGATATTGTTGCACTGATACAAAAAAAAAATAAATCTGCAGTTAAAAATCATTATATTTCTTATTCGACGAAAGAATGGCAAGAGCATGATGATGCTATAACAAAATGGATATTGTATGATTTGCAACCCTTTACTGTTATTAAATGCAAAGAATGGCGGGATATGATAAAAAAATTTGACCCATGTTATCAATTTCATAATCATCACATAGAAAAGGATCATGTTGTAACTCTATTTGAAAATAAAAGAGAACAAGTAAAATTAGTACTCTCTCAAATTCCCGGAAAAGCATCGTTCACCTCTGATATGTGGATTGCATCCAATAGTGTCGTATTTCTTAGTCTAACAATCCATTTCGTTGATTCTTCTTGAAAACTAAATAGTTTTCTCTTAGATATTATTCCAATAGAAGTGCGTCATACAGGCTCCAATATGGCTAATATTATAATGAATGTCCTTAGTGAATTTGGTTTAGAAAAAAAATTTTAGCCCTCACTACAGACAATGCTTCGTCAATGATATATGTGGTGAACTTATAATGGAAGAACTTGAGGAAGAATTTGATAATCTTGAATTTTCGCATTATAGATGCATCGCCCATATTTTAAATCATGTAATTGGTCAAGAGTTTAAGCATGTAGATAATTCAATTTCAAAAGTAAGAATGTTGATGTTATATATTAAATCATCAAAACCAACAAACAATGCTTTAAAAGGGTTTTGTAATGTAAAAAGTATTTCCTACCTGGCATCTGAAATAGATACGAAGACACAGTGGAATTTCACCTACTATATGCTGATAAAGTGAAAAAAATTAGAGCCTGCATTAAATTTGCTTGTGATCAATAATCAAATAGTAAGGGAAAAGTATTTAAATGCAGAAGACCTTAATAATATTAATGTAAATATGCTTTTTATCTTATTATAAAAAAAAAAAAAAAGTTATATATAATTTATATATATTGTATATATACTATCTTATTCTTTTAAAAAAAGAATATTATTATGCTTCTTGAACTGGTAGAACATGCTACTCATTTTTTATCTGCATCAAACTACCTAACATATGGAGATGTTCGATTTGTTGTTTTTGGAATTCATGAGCATTTATCTCGATATAAAGATAATTCTGATTTCTCCAAAGCTCAAATGGCCAAAATGATGTATCATAAATTAGAAAGCTACTGGTTAATTCTTGATGATTCTTCTCAAATCTTGACATTTCTCGATCTACGTGTAAAACTATCTGTGTTCGAAACTGAAAATGAGAAAAATAAAGTAGTTGATTTAGTTTCTGGATTAAGTGAATATATATCTGAAACAACTTAACAAATAGCTTTTGCTAATAATTCAAATAATAATAGAGATTACTTTTGTAATCTATATGCCCTTGATACATCTTTTTCTTTTATGTACAATCCACCTATCACAAATTGTATACATGAGCAAATCAAGAAATATCTCTCAATACCTTTACTTGATCATGTTGATCCTCTGTATTGGTGGCAAATACAGCATTCTGAATATCCAATTTTAAGTATCATTGCCTGTGATTATTTGTTGATTCAAGCAACAAGCATTGCTTCAGAACAGGCATTTTCAATTGCTGGAATAGTAATTTCAGATGAAAGAAACAGATTAGAAGAAGAGACCGCAAGAGCAATTCTTTGCTTAAAAACCTGGATCTGTAAAGGAGTATACTAAATATAATATTTGTAACTAAAAAAATTAAATATTGCTTGCTTTATGCTTTGAATACAATAAACATTTAGAACAATATGATATACATAGCATTTTCAAAAAAAAAAAAAAGGATAAATATATATAAACATAACTGTAATTGAATAAAGATCTAAGTCCATATTGCTTGGTCTTGAAAGTGCATTTCACACACAGTTTTTTGATTATAGTTATTGACTATTTATATATTGCAACTTTTTATACATACATTAAGTATTTACAAAAACCATTGCTTATTTGTAATAAATTGAGATTTCAATTTAAATAAAAATTTTCCGATTGAAGATATGATTAAGGTTTAATCAGTTATATAAGTCGATTGATCCTATTGGTTTATTATCATGTGCAATCTTGAATTTCATAAATTGAAGGACCGGTTTTAGGACCAAGACTGGACCAAAAAAACTATTGGACCAGTTCTACCATGGACCGGACGGACCGAACCAGACTTATCCATCCATAGTAAAAAGTCACAACAAAGACAGATATAATAATAAAGCTGACAGCTTTGCAAAAAAAAATAGTAAGTAAAAAGATTATATATACAGTAAGACCTTCATAAGTGCATCTTCTTGAGACCATAGTCAAAAAAAATCAAAACATGCACTTAAAGAGGTAGTGCATTTATAGAGAGCAAAATCTATAATTCTCTTATAAATTGAGGCCAAGTTATGTTGTACATTTAGAGAGAATTTATATAGTGCATGCACTTATAGAGCATGCACTTAGAGAGGTCTTACTATATAGAAAAAGTTAATTGTAAAAAAATAGAATACTGTTTAAAATAGAAAAACAAATGAATAGATATGCCAGTAAGACTTTTATATAAACTAGTAACAAATATCAGACTAGGTGCAAAATAAAGAGAAACAACAATGATCAAGAGTCTAGAACTAATAACAAAAATAATAATTTATGACTAAACATATTTTTGAAAAAGACTAAAGTTAATCTAAGAAATGTATTATATAACAAAATAAAGCAGTATGAGAAAAAATATTTTTATAAAATATATATTAGACAAACTTTTGATATTAAAAGAACTTAACAGAAGAAGATCAGATTTATATATGAATACAGAATGCCAAGTATAGTAAAATAAAGTTAAAAAAATGCAAGAACATTAGCAACATGCAAGGAACAAGCAAGTCTTTAGAAAAGAATACAGAAAGTATCTACACAATAGTATGAAAAAGACTAAAAGAAGAAAAAAAATCAGAATTCTATCTTATGTATTATATATAATACTCTTTGGAAAAACAGAAAAAATAGAAATCATCAAAAAAACAAAAAACTCTTTCTGCTAATCTTCATAACCAAAATCAGAACAGAAAGAAAATTATAGAAATTACAAAAACCAGCAAGTAAAAGCACTGTTGTCAACTAAGCAAAGTTAAAGCTAAGAAGAAATTAGATAGAGTTTATTAGAATAGTAAACCAAGTTGACAACAATATAGTAGCTAGTCTTGACTTTTAGAGAAAATTTTTGCTCTTTAACAATAATTTTTTGTTGAAAAAAGGAAATATACAGAAACTCTGTACTGTAAAACACACATGTGACACATAAAGCAAGACAGAGTAAACAGTAAACATAACAAAACAAATAAACAGATGCGCAATCTTGTAAATAAACAAATAAATATAGATATATATAGTAAGACATGTATTGAATTTATACAGATAAGATATAGAAATAATGCAAAGAAGTATAATACAAAAAGTTCAATCAGTATCTACAAAGATTGACTGGTATAAGAAATTAGAAAAGTATCATGATTTGTTTAACAAATCTGACAGAGTACAGAAAGAATTATTAGATAGTCATAAATCAAGAGTATTAAGAAAAGATGAAGAATTGGCCAAACTAGTTGGTACTGAAGCAGTCTTAGTTTATATGTTTAGAAATCTAATTGAAGTATATAATTACTGTGAGTATGTACAAGTAAAAAATAGTGAAAAACCAAAAAAAAATAGTATAGAGCAATTAAGTAAAGATAAAAAAAAAAAAAAGATATTATTAGAGCAAGAATGTGGATGCATAGATTATGGTATACTAGAGAAACAAACAAGAAAGAGCTCAGTAATGAAAAATAAAAAAGAAAAAGAAGTTAAGACAAAAGAAAATAAGCAGCAGAAGAACATAGCCAATGATATAGAGACAAGCAAGAAACATAAGACAGATGAAGTAGAAGTAGAACACAAAGAAGAGAAAAAATCCAAAGTAACTACAAACATTGAACAAATACAAAACAAACAAATAAAAGAACAAAGTTATACAGAGGAGCCAACAAAAATGCATATAGATAGTAAGTTAAAGGACAATATCTATACAATGTGGGACATTCCAGTAGATGTAAAACCAGCACATATTAGAAAGTATCTTCAGTTTTATGATAGAAATAGGTTTATTCAGTAGAAAAGTTGTAGTAATAGCAAAGCAGCAATGTTCACTGTTGAGTTTAAAAATAAGAATAGAAAATCAATGCTTGACCAGGCATGGTTAGTGCATTTTGAAGAAGGCAAAATGTGTAGAGTTACCCCAGGTACTTTTGTAAGAGAGATATTAGAAAGTAGAGCAACACATAAGGCAATAATCAAAAATGTTTTAACAACAGCAATAAAGGTATTATTATTAAGACAACTAAAGGTAATAAAAGCAAAAGCAGTTTATATTTCAGTAAATAGAAACAAGAATCAATGGAAAATTGCATCAGTCTACTTTTAAACAGAAGAAGACTTACTAATGGCCACCAATAAGAAGCCATACTATTATAACACAAGAATAGATTGGTGTAACAGAAGAGCATTCAAAAACATGGAAACTAAAAGAGAAGAGAACAAAGATGTAAAAGAACAGTTCGTGAATAGAAGTATACAGTATAGAAGACAATCGAAAAGTTAAGAAAATATGAAAAAAGAAGAAAATAACAAAAAGAATTAGCAAAGAAAAGATAAAGAAGTCTACAGAAAATACAATGATAGTATGCAGACAAAAGCAGTTGATGTAAAGAAGCAAAAAAGTGAACTACAAGAGGTTTTTAGTAGAATATTAAGAAAACTTAACAACATGAAGAAAGACAATTAGGAGGCTTGCTTCCAAATCGCTTCTGAAAGTTGCCATAGGCGTTCTTCAAGAAAAAGTGTTTATTCTGTCAAATATAGAGTTAGAGAGCAGTAGTAGAAAATTGGCACATAGTATAAGCAGATATGACAAAAGTGAAAAGAAGATAACAAGTGCTAAGATAGCATATCACAACATAAAAGGAATAAAGCATAACAAGATCAAACTAAAAACAATAGTTGAGTGGGCAAAGAAAGAAGAAGTTGATATTTTGGAATTAGTAAAAACAAATAGCAATAGTAAAGAGCTGAAATATAGTTTAGAAAACAATTATTATAGAGGCATTTGGTTGCAAAGTAAAATTATAAAGAAGAAAGGATTAGGTGTTGGGTTATTAATAAGCCAAAAATAGGAGAAACATATAGAAGAAATTTGTAGATTTGAAAAATACTTGATTGGAGCAAAGTTTTATTTTAAACAGGTAAAATTAACAATAGTGGTAGTATATATCCTTTAAGTGACAAAGAAAAAACAAGAAAGTTGCAACAAAGAATTATAAATATGTATATAGAGAGAGCAAGTAACTCGCAGTTCATAGTAATAGGTGACTTTAAGCATTAGTAAATAGCAAATTAGATAAGTTGAGTAGTAGTAAAAATAATTGTAGTAGAACACTTTCATTACATAAATGGATGATGAAACAGGGATTTGGTGATACATATAAAATTTGCAACCCAGAATTAAGAGGTTACACTTGAGCAGAACATGATATACAAACAAGAATTGACCAAATATGGATTACAGAAGATCTACAACTAGGTTTAGAACAGGCAGAAATAGTTGATGCAGAATATATAACATCAAGTGATCATAACATTGTTTGTGCAATGTTGATGTTCAAACACTTGATTCAAACATATAGTGTAGCAGAAATGAAGAAAAAAGACATAACAAGAACAATTTCTTTGTATAAGAAAGTGATGAAAGAAAATTGGGAAGACTACCAAGTAGATCTTAAAAATTATTTAACTAAGAACAGTAGACTTAAAGTATTTAAAGAAGTTGGATATAGCACTGATATAGACAAAGTGTGAAATATAATATTCTGTACAATAAAAGATGCAGTAAACAGAAATATATCAAAAAAGAAGATAATCCAAAGAAATATCAATATTGGAAGAAAGAAAAGAACAACAATATTGCATAAAGGAATAGTAGCACTGAGTAAACTATTGCAGAAGACTAAGAAGTTGGTGAAGAAAGAAAGAACTAAACTAAACTTAGAGAAAGTTAATGAAGAGGTAGATAAGATAAATAGAAAATATGGTCTAGAAATAGGTTATATAAAAGAAGGCAAAATAACAGATCTTGAAGAGTGGTATCAGTTAATAAAAAAGCAGTAGCAGGCATTAAGAATAGCAAAGAAAATGAAAGAAGACAGGTGTACAAGAAATGAAATTAATACTGCAGTAGATAGAAGATGTGAGAGGATTGATAAAGAAGTAGAAAGAATGCTTTCCAGTATTCT